AAGGGCATGTTTTCGTGTGGGGTCTTTATTGATCTGCAAAAGGCATTCGATACTTTTGATCATTATATTTTATTACGTAAGCTGGCTCATTACGGAATTCGTGGTATAATCAATGATTGGTTCTGTTCATACTGAAATGGAAAAACCCAAACCACTCAGGTCGGTGCCTAGATTTCTAAAAAAGAGAAAACCTCTTGTGGAGTGCCACAGGGTTCTGTTTTGAGTCCTTTACTGTTTCTGATTTATATTAATGGCATTTACAAGGCTTCAAACAAACTAGGATTCTACCTATTCGCTGATGATACAAATCTGCTATATGTTGATAAGAATTTAAAATCAATTTTTCTGTTGTAAATATGGAGCTACTTAATGTCTGTGACTTGCTAGGCATTAATAAACTCTCCTTAATTATAGAGAAAACTAATTTTGTTATCTTTCATGCATACGAAAAACGCTTAAATTATGAAGTTAATTTAATATCTATGGCAACCAAAGTAATCGACCGATAAGTATAGAACGTAGATCATACGTTAAGTACTTAGGAATACTGGTGCTAATCTTTGTTGAAAATATCATATCAACCACATTGTGTCAAAGATCAGTAGTCATATAGGTATAATATCCAGATTAAGGCATTTCACTCCCTTCGTGACTTTGCTTAATATATATAGATCTCTTATTTTTCCATATATCTTCTATGTCCTTAATGACTGAGGACAGGCAGCCAAAACGCACCTAAACAAGATACTACTTCAGAAACGGGTTGTCCGCTTGATGAATTTTTCTAAGTTTAATGATGATGCTGTTCCACTTTTTTATCCCAGTCTACTAATATTCTGCCTTTACCTTTAATTAACCTGCTTTAGAAATTGTTCTATCTTAATGCATGATGTCAACAAGAAAGTTGTGCCATCTAACATTTATGCTCTCCTTAGACCCATTAAAGATGCTCATCATTATAACACACGATCTTCTACAGCTGGTAACTTCTATATCAACTACTCGCGACTAAATCACTACAAGAACTCTCTTTCCTCTATGGGCGCAAAAATTTGAATGAATGAATGAACTGTATTCCTGATGTTTTGAGACAGCTCCCAAAATATAGTCTCAAGAAAAAAA